TTCATTAATATTTCACCTACTATTTAAGGGACCAATACTAATTTACTGATATTAAAAAATATAAAGGGTATCAAATTAAATTAGTGGTACTTAGATATACTTAAAAGTAAAAGTTATAATTTAATGGAGTATTAATGTAATTTTTTAATGGGGTATTTAATATAATTTTTTATACTTATAACAAAAAAAGCGCACACACAGAGATAGAGAAAGAGGCGATGGCGATGTTGATGGCGATGTTGATGTTGTTTTGGTGTCGGTGTCGGTGTCGGAGAGGGAGAAGAAGAAGAAGAACATACTTGGTTGCTGGTACCTCGTGGTCGCAGCAGCGCACAACGATGAATAGAGAGATTGTGAGACTAACAGGTTAGTGTTAAAAATCAACCTAGGGTTTCATCTAGTTAGTGTTGTTATTTTTTTCAATTTTTTCAATTTGTTTTGATTGCTTTTGCTTGGGTGTTTTGTGGGTTTGGTGGATTGGTAATTCTTGTCTTCATCTCTTGCATTTTCTTTGACATTTTCTCTATTCTATGGCTGTCAACGATTTGGTCCCAAAAAAAAAACAGAGATTTTGCGTATCGTTTGTATTGATCGATATGTATCATATTGTAAAAACGTATCGTGTATCGGACGATACTATGCAACAACGATACAAAACTCCAATTCGTATCGTTTTACCTATGTATCGTGACGTATCGTACGATACGTATTGTGTATCGTACGATACTAATATCTATGCATGGCTATACTTGTGCTACTTGGGCTGGTGATAGTATTGATCACAAGTCTACTATTGGTTTTTGTGTTTTTTTTGAGTGATTTTCTTATTTCTTGTTCTACTAGTGAGGATGAGTGTCATGCTATAACACACACCACTGTAGAGATAGTTTGACTTCGTAGGCTTTTAGCTGATATGGGTGTTGTTCCCTCCTCTCCTACTACAAGTGCTATCCAGATTGCACACAATTTAGTATTTCATGAGCATATGAAGCATATTAAAATTGATTGTCATTTTGTTTATTAACATCTGCAGCTAGACACTTATTGTTTGTATCTTTGCTATAGCTTGCAGACTTTTTCACCAAATTTTACACTTCAACTTGTTTTCGATTCTTATTTGACAAACTCTTGATGCTCTCTAGGGGATGAATCTCCAGAAATGCTTTATGGGGGTAATAATTGGAAAGTTATTGGGTTTTGTTATTACAAGAGATAGAATCACAGTTGATGCTCACATCATGAGTTTGAGGGGGATGTGAGAGTGTATATAAGTTTTTATAATAGGAGTACATTTGTCTTTTGGGTAGGGTTTTTCAGATTTTTTTTTGGGCTATATATCTTCTTGTAATTTGTTTTATTGACTTGAGAGAGAGTATTGTTTGCACCCAATAAAACTTTCAGGTCAAACTTCAAATGTTCTTTAATCGACCAAAATCAATTAGTGAATTTTTTCGGTCTGCCTTCTTCCTAGAGGATAACTTGTTATGAAGATTGAACACTCTAGCATAATCTATTGATTGTGTCTTCACCATTAAACATATCAACTTTCTAGCCTAAGTTTATATGAATATGCAAATAAACTTACATATTGATAATTTCATAGACTTATTTAAAATGTTAATTTAAGAAGCATGTGCTGGGGAATGTTGTCACTGATCCAATTATTTTCTTTGCCCTACTTTTATTGTTTGACAGGGAGATACACTGGATTATCTTGGCATCCCAGGACTCCACTTGGCTGGAAGCCAAGGAGTGATTGTCATAGCCATCTGTCAAGCCCTTCTGATGGTAACAACCTTTTATTTCAGTTTGCTGTCTATTGTCAATCATTTTGAACTTTTGTGAGCCTTGATGAATCTACTAGTAAAACACCTTCCATATTGGGCTTTCAATAGCCATCCCATTCAAGGGGCTTATGATGTTATACTTATCCTTAAATCTTCAATGGGCTTAGGATTGAATATCTATGGTTCCAAGCTGGCTTGGATCATATTGTCAATGATATCACCATAAATCAATGTGGGGTGGTTGTCAATGCATCAAATTGGGCAGTGATATGATTACACAGGCATATTTGCAAAATAAATTTATGCCGACCTTACTCTATTTTGGCACATATTGCATATTGCCCACACTGGTCAGGGTCTTGTATAAACACTTATAAAGAATAATTATATGACGGTGTAGAAAGAGGGTGAAAGGCTAAGGAGGGTGAGGTGGGTTCTTTTTTTATGGCTGGAGATGGGCGTCGGGCATCTAATGTGGTTGGCAGAGTTATCTTGGTGGTGATACAACTGGTCACTGTGTGTACAGTGATTTAAATTTCAGGCGATTTCAGTCCCTGTAGTGGAATATTGAAAGAATCTTTAGGAGGTGAAAACATTAATAAGGTGGTGAAAGTTGCTCATACAATTGTTGAATGGTGACTGCTACTTAAAGGAAAAAAAATCTCAGATGACTTTGCTCGCATTGGTTTTTTGTTTTTTATGTTTATGATTTTGTGGTTAACTATAATGAAGCCTATTGTTCTGTGCGTATAGGTTGGACCAGAATATGCAAGATATTGTGGGATTGAGGCTCTGGAGCCTTTAGGAATTTACTTGCCGGGTGACATTAATTATCCTGGGGGTGCACTTTTTGATCCCTTAAATCTTTCCAAAGACCCTAAAGCTTTTGAGGAACTGAAGGTGAAAGAGATTAAAAATGGGCGCTTAGCTATGATTGCCTGGTTAGGCTTTTATGCCCAGGCAGCTCTGACAGGTAAAGGCCCAGTTCAGAACCTTTTTGAGCACATCTCGGATCCGGTACACAATAACCTGCTTTCCACTATCAAATCCCTGTAATGTATATTTCAGAGCTCTTGTTAGTGACCACATCCAAGCATATAAAAACTTTAAATTAGCGATAATTGATTTCTTTTCTTGATATGTATAGATATGTTATATGAAGAAGTCTATTTTTACTTAATTTATGCCTTCATGTAAGAAACACAAATACATTTTCCCCACCAGAAAGTAACACGTTAATACATTTAGCTTTCAAGTCCTAAAAAACAACATTCTGTACTAAACATCATGGGAAATCTGACCTTGAATATACTCTCTTTCTCCCCCCACCCCAAAAAAAAAAAAAAAAAATTGACGAGGGGAGATTTTGTAGGCTTGAGGTTGAGCATTCCTATATGTAGTTGATCAAAGGCATTGGTGAATATTATGTCTGTTGAACAGTTATTATCTATCAAGACTCTTCACACAATGTGGTTTGATGCAATTATAGAAATTACTAAAGGGTCATCAAGAAGGAAGCAGATTTCTTTGGGGTTCGTTTGTTTAGCGGGAGAATGATAGAAAATGCAAGAAAGAGAAGTTTTTTAAAATTTTCATGTGTTTGGTTTGTATGAAAAGGAAAATGATAGAAAATAATTTTCCTTCATGCTTGAATTTTCTCACAAATAACCAACTTTTTTTTCTTGCAAAAAATACAAGGAAATGCAAGAAAGTTATGATTTATATCTAACTTCCTATTTTACCCTTATTTTTCTTAAAATATTTTATTGGTTATTAATTCTAAAAAATTTTGGTATGAATTTGATTAATCATATAATTTAGGCTAAAGATCTTTGTATTAGTGATTGTTTTAAAATTAAGTTTCGAGTTATTTTTTGAAATTTTTTTAACTTTTAATTATAATTACATATTTTTTCCTTTTAAAACCGATTTAATATAATTAAGGGTAATTTAGACAATTATAAAAAAATTCTTATAATTTTTCTTTCTTTCAAATAATAGAATGAAATTTTTTTAAAAATTTCTAGTAAATTTTTCATTCTAACCAAATATATGTATAAAAATATATTTTCTATCAGTTTTTTTTCTTTCACTTCTCTTTCTATCATTTTCACTTTTCATTATTTTTTTCTTCCTAACCAAACAAACCCTTGAGATCTTTGTCAGTGAAAGTTATTAGTGAGGTCATATGGGGTACCTTTCCTAGATGTACTAAGTAGATCTCTTCAACATTTGTTTGAGCTTTTCTCGCATAAGCTCTTCTGGCTAAGTTGCTATCTCCGCTAGCTGCTAACCCTATGGAGATTACCTTTATCTCTTCTAAGGGTTATTGATGTTCGTGAGGCTTTGCTGGGGGAGCTCTTTCTTCCCTTCTGTTTGTGTCATCGAACCTTCTCAAATGGTCTTGTTGGATTAGTTGTTAATATTTCGTCCTTCAGGATGATGCACTCCTTTGTATCATGGCCATGGTCTCGATGAAACTAGCAATATTTATCCCTTGCTTGTTTGTGAGGGGGAGTCTTAAGGTTCCCAGGCCATTTGAATACATTATCATCCTGTACTTAGAAAATGACTTGCTTAACTGAGGTGTTAAGAGGAGTGTTCCCCTGAAACTTGTTTGGTGGGAAGCGAGGTCTCAATCTCTCTCTTGCTGGTACACAATCTGTTTTTCCTTTCTTGGAGGCGTTAGCTTTGTCATGCTTCTTGATCCTTTCGCTTCTTTTTTGAAGAGCGATCTTCGCCTCTTTTTTCTAGCGTTCAATGCATCATTTGCATTCATATGGTTCTGAGCTCTAGACAAGAGTTCTACCATACTTGTTAGTGGAGCTCTGTCATACTCATTCATGATTGTCTCCTCCGCGCTTTCCTCGATAATGTTGCTTACTATGGGGATCATCTCTAGCAACACCCATTGACTTGATAGTCATCATCCATGATCGTTCTTCTTTAGGAAGTTGTAAGAATCACAGAAAATTATTAGTCAATTCTCATAGACAGTGCCAAATTGTTGGTGCAAAATTTGTCCCAACTTTTACACAAGCTGAATATATGATTTTCTTGATCCTTGTCAACTTTTCGATAAGTCTAATTAACTTTTTGATAGTTGGAATTAGCTCTCCAAGGTTCCTAATGAGGTTTTCGCAAGCTGGCAGACTTGAAAAAAAGTTTCAGACTGGAGAAGGGAGTTTTGGGAGTCGACCCTCCGATACTTAAGTTAGTATTTTCCGGAAGAATTCTTAAGGAATATTCAGGAATAGTTGTTACATACCTCTGGTCTTCTCCGTAGGCTCCCTTTTCTAGTGTTTTGAATAAATGGTTGCTGGGGAATGGACTCTAGGCTCCTCCATTGTTCTGGGAAGATCAGACTTCTGCTGCTTGGGGAGTCTTTGTCCTCTTTTCCTTTTGCAGACTCTTTTTATGTTTGAAGTTTATTCTCCTGAGCATTGTTGTAGGCGGGAAAGGCTCCCTCATAAGGAGTCTTTTGAATCCTAGATAAGCTAATAAGAGGCAGAGACTTCTTTTGGAATGAGGGGTCTCAGCCCTGTTGATGACCTTGACTTGGAGGTGCTTTGATTTTCAAACAATGGATAATCTTATTTTCATTCTTCTATGGGACAACTTGGTGGGACATAGCTTATTATTAGGATATGCTTTCCTATCCTCTTCAAGGCTCGCCAAACCTCTCAACGGTAATCTTTTGGGTAATTGAACCAGAGCTTGGTGAATTTAAATAGCCTAGGGAATGGTGGTTACAAGAAATCGCCTCATTTAAACTGACAAGATGTTCCCACGTAAGCCATATGCGTTTCTCAAGGAAGTAATGGAAAAAAATTAAAAAGTAACTTGACACACGATCGACAGACGGAAAAAATTAAATACAACATCAAGAAAGGTCTTACAAAAGCTGTTTGACTTGAAAGTTACCGTTGGAGGACAGGCAAGGACGGAGCTATTAGTGGGCTGAAGCCCAGGGTAAAAATTTTTTTTATTAGAGCCAACCCAACCTAAAGCAACGACTACCTGCAACACAGTCACTTCCTCTCTTCAGACGGCTCTCTCTCGGTCTCTTCTCTCTCAGGTTGCAACTTCAACCCAAACACCCTCCCCCCATCCCTCTTTTGCGCAAACACCATCTCTTTCAGGTTGCCACTCTCGCGCGCGCCCAGCCCCAATAGGTACGATTTATCACCTCCTCTTCTCCCCTCTCTGTTTGGTTTTGCTTTTCGTTTCCGTATGTATGTCTCCCTGCGTCTATTTGTTTGGTTTTGCTCTTTGTTCAAATGCCTACAAGCTGTTCGATCAAATGCCCTTGAATCACACACACATTTGTATGGCCTCTTGACCTCTTTTCCAGCTGGAAATCTTTTGTAGACTTTAGAGTTTAAATCATGATCAATAAAAATGAGCTAGAATGTGTTTACCACTTGATGTCCATTTAGAGGTTTGGAAGTGATAATGCATGCAGTGATGCACTTGAGGTCATCATTCTTTTAATTAATTTTTGAGAATTCAAGAAATGTATATGAGATTGTAGAAAATAGGACCGGATATTGATTACCTATGTTTTAGCTGTGATTGCATGTGGAAATGGTTTTTTAGTGCATCACCTGACTGCTATTGATGAAGCTGATCCATTGCAATATTTTCTTAAGGAATAGGAGAATAATAAGCAGCATTGTGTTATTGTTATTCATCATACAAAGGTCACTGCTGCCAGAACAATGATTAACCCCTACTTATTTGACCCTCAAGAGAGTTGTGCCTAAATATGCAGTTTACTTTAAAATGGGTGTTTGTGGAAGGTGCATTATTAAGAAAGTCATTGTTATGCTTGTATTTTCTGTTTGCTACATAGAGATTTATGCACTGGCACAATTTCTGTGTGGAGTTATAATATCTCTTATGACTAACACCAAAATGTTGAATCTACTTCCAGATACTCAATTGTTTGATCCCCTGCATTTACTTATACTGATTGTCATCGTTTTTGTCAATGGCCATCTGCCCTTGTATGCTATACATCCTGCAGAACAAAAGCATGCTCTTACAACTGGTTTTATCATTTTTATGAACTAAGAGAACTTAAAGAGTTACTTTTATGTAGGGGATGGGTGTTATATGCATTTATATACCTGCTGCTATGTTCTACTTTGCCATGAAACTAGGAGTGGCTTTATTGTGTGCCATGGTTGCTTAGTTTCGATGGACAAATTTGTTGCTGTATCAGCATGGTTCTGGACCTGTTAAGTCATATTTCTTTATATACTATTACTAATATGGCTAGATTAGTTCTGTTTTACATTGCTTACATCAATCATACTTGCATTCCAACTTTTATGGCATAAAATGGATCATGAATAATGCTCTTATTCTACTATTTTGTCATGATGCTGGCTGATCCTTCATTTGACATGTTTCAACAATAAAAGACTGTACGTAGATAATATGTTTCAACATGTTTCAACCATTGTTAGTTGTATGAATGCTTAACTTAGCCCGGGATAAACAAAAATTCTGGCTCTGCCCTTGAGGACAGGTAAAATCTAGACTGAATAGGGAAAACTCAGAGCATGGCAAATCCTGGTAATCAACTCTGTCTCATCTGACTGGTTCACAAAGAGACAACGGAGGATAAGGTTATCCACAGTTTAAAAGTCAAAAGACCTCCTAATAAAATTTAGCAGCTCATGACTGGAGGGAGAAAGACTGAGACCCCTTGTTCCTGGGGAGTCTCAGCCTCCTAATCTGCTTATCTGGAATTCAAGAGACTTCTCCACAAGGAAACTCCCGTCTGTTACATTGAATAGGAGAACAGACTCCTCATACAAAAGGAGTCCTTAAATAAATGAGAGAGCCTAGAGTTCACTCCCAAACAACTACTATTCCAAACCAACTATAAAGAGTCAAGGGAAAACGACCAACGTAAGTAATATATGTTCAAAAATATCTCTTTGTAACTATTCAGCAAGTACTAACTTAAGCATTGGATGATCGACACCCCCGGAGATCCCCTTCCAGTCTTCGACTTATTTTCAAATCCTCCAGATTGTAGAAAC